GCGGCCCATCTGTCGCCGCGCCCAATTTGCTGCAAGAGCGACTGCCTGAATGTAGTGACAATGCGGTTTCTGTCTAGGCCCGAGCGCTATTCGCATCGTCGCATGTACTCGGGCCTTCTCTTGCAAGCCGTCGCTGTGTCCGACGGAGTGATCTCCGGCCCGTTCAAAGGCGGGCCCCGCCTCGAACTGGGCCCCCCTCGACTCCGAGGGGACTTTTATGAGGGGGGGGGCGACCTGGCCGACGGGGCCGCGAAGTTGGGGGCGAGCCTTAATCCCGACGGCTTCGTGGAGGACCGCAGGCGAGCTGCTCGCCCCGCGGCCGTCTCCAGAGCCGCTGCGAAGCTGGCTGCTCGCGCGACGCCGCCCCGGTCTCGCGCTGGCTTGGACGCGCGAGAGGGGGCCGTGAACAAGAGTTCTAAGCCCCTCGCCCGGCGAAAGCTCAGCCGCTCCCCACCCCGCCCCCCAGGGCCCCTGGATCGGAGACTGCTGACAAGAACCACGCAACGAGAGACCCCCCCCCCACCCTCGCCCGAGCGCACGGCGGAGCCGTTGAAGATGCAGCAAGAGAGCAGGCCCAACGGCATCAAAAACGCAGAACCTGGGCAGCGAAAGTTCGCCCTGTCCGAGGGTCCCGGGCCGCCGATCGACAGGGCGAGAGAAGAAGCCCGCCTCGAGCTGGAACCGCGCCACCTCCAGAAGATAATAAGGCTGCCCGGCGCGCCCCGACAATCTGACGGGAACGAGCTCCTCGCGCGCGCCCTTCCGCGACCCGCGCGCACAGGGGCGGCGGAACACCGCGTCGCGTGGCTCTCCGCGCCCGGCGCGCGCGCCCCCAGCCCGGCGCCCGGCGGCCGCCGCGCGAGATGCGGGCCAGATGCCGGCGCAACGGGCCGCGCGGACGCAGCCCGCGCCCAGGGCCGAGCATTTCTTGGACGCCAGACCCTCCGAAACAATGTCGAAGCACAACGGGCTGCCCAGGGCGCACTTGCCCCCCGCCTCGCGCCCCGGAAGTCCGAAAGAAGACTCGCGAATGACCTTTTTTAAGACGGGGCAGGGGAGGCGAGGGCAAAAGACCAGGGAACTCCGGGGTCGTCAACCACCCCAAACGGCCGAGACATCGCCCAGTTGAGCCCAGCCAAAGAAAGCCGCGCGGCCCCCGCGGGCCCAACCGCCCCCCTCCAACTGGGGCATGGCCCACTGAAGGCCCAGTTCCACGAGCCCTTCAAAAATTCCAGAAAGGCGCGGGGGCGCCGGGCGCGCGTCGAAGCCACACTTCGCGCGCATAGCGCAAGATAGGAGGGCAGCCGTGCCGGGCCAAGTCGGGCCACCGTCGAGGAAGAGAGGCGAGCGCAGAGATTGCCCATCTGCGGGCGTCTTGAGCGACACGCCAGCAAGACGACGCACCTTGGCCAACCTTCCATCCGAAAAACTGGATCCCGCAGCCGCACTGCAAAGCTGGAGGGGCCCCGCGACGAATTATCGCCAGTCTCGCGGCCCAAGATTATGTCGCGCCGCTTCCAAAGAAACGCCCGACGGGCCGCCGCGGCAGCCCTCGTTTTGTTTTTGCAGCTCCTGCCTCGGGACATCTTGGCTTCCCAGCGTCGTCGATGCCCAAGTAAATCGCCGACTCCTGATGAGGGCCGACCAAAGGACCGACGCGCTGCTTCAGCCTCGAGGCCGCAGCCGCGGAGGAACGAACCATGGCAGCGTTGATTGGAAATCTCGGCAACCATCATTTGACGCACCCCCGACGCCACTCGTTCCCCGACTCGACGAGATCCCCGACGACCGAATCGATGGGCTCATTGCGGGGGCCGGCACGAGGTCATCTGCGCAGTCGTCGCCGACGTCATAGGCGCGCGTCGGTTTGTCGAGATCCGGGAGGAACAGCGGGACATGCTGGCCTGCGAGTTCGAGGCACGGTGCATTAACACACCGTTGGCACCTTCGGCATGCCCCCCGCCTCTGAATGCTGGGCCAGGCTATTCGTCGCCTTACTGCGGCAATATTCTGCCGGTTGGACCTGGAGGCGATCGCTGCGGGGAAACGAGGGCGACTGGCAATGCCCTGCACGGTCGTCTTACTCGGCATCTCGGGTTTCCCACGCAGAGGACTAAGACGCGTTGGGCGCCTGGACATCGCGGCGACGGCCATGGCGCGGGTGGCGCCGCTGACGGGGCCGGCGCGCGCCTATCTCGCGAGCGCCACAAAGACGAGAAGAGGGCACCCTCGCCGCTGGCGACCAGGCCCGCGCCGACGCGGATCGGCATGCCACTGGCCAGCGGGCGACAAATGGAGTCGCACATCACGTTGGGAGCCGAGAGCGCCGGGCACCTCCGCTCGGACGCGCGGGCGCAGAGAGGGCGCCGCCGGCCAGGCAGCGGGGGGCGCCGCCAACCAGCAGCAAGCGATGGGGATCGCCAGCGCGCGCTGAAGGCGGGAACATTGCCCCCCTCGGGCGCGGGTCGGGGCAAAAGTTTTGAACAGGGCCACCGCGACGCTCGCGCTCCTCGGCGCGATCCCCCGCGCGAAGCTGTTCGCGATGCCCGGAGAGCGCCGCCAGAGGGCGAACCTCGAGATGCCGAGGTCGACGGACGCCCTGGGGCGCGCCTGCGCGGCGCACAGGGCCACGTCGACAAAGCGGCCGTTCGTTGTCTTCCCCATCGAGCATTCGGATGAGCCAGGTCACGCAAGTTGACGCTGAACCTAGACTCGGCTACTGCTCGAGGAAGCAGGAGGCGGGCGATCTCAGCCACATGGAGACGTCGGACCCCGACGAGTCTCTCAGGATCCACGCGACGGCCGCGAACCTGAAGTGGCACGTGCCCGACGAGATGGCGCAGGCCCCCCAGAAGCTCGACGAGTCGACATCCTGGAGAGGACAGCCGCCGCAGGCAGGACACCTCAGCGGGGCGCGGCCAGTTGGGCCGCGGGCGCGCGCCCAGCACGTCGCGGACGACGTCGCGGGGGCGGAGCTGGAGGTGGCGACAGCGGCGCGCCGAGTCCAGTATAACCTTCCGAGACAGGGGCCCAGCGCGACGCCCTATCGCGCGCCTGCAGATAGTCTTGAACCCCCACCTCCCAGCGGGCGCCGCCGCGGGGCGCCCCCCCCACCTCCGCTTCCGCGCCCCCTTCTCTTCGCCGCGGCGGCGGTGAATCCAGGGGGGGAAGGGCGCCCCCTGCCGCGGAGGGCTTCTTGGAAAGTGGGCAGGGTTCCGGGGCCACGCCCATGCCCCCCCTTACACGACGTAGCGCGGCAGGGGGCGCGGCGATGCCTGAGTGACGGGGCGAGAGGATCGCGGTGCGGCTAGCGGGCCTCGACGATAGCAGCGTCCTGCGGGGGGGCCCGGGGTCCGCGCCCCACGCCTCCGGGCCTCGTTCCCCGTCCTCTTTGGTGACCCACTCCCATCGCTGATGGGGGGCGTCGAGTTCCCGGGAGTGGCTCGGTCCCCTGCGCTACAGGGCCCTCGTTTCCGCCACGCGAAACCGAGGCATAAATGTCACCCTCCCCTTTTACCGCTTCGCACCGCTTGCACGGCAATTAATTCGTGGTCGAGGGCGCGCCCCCGCGAGCCAACGCGAATGTGCATCTTGTCAGTTTGCCCGATACTTGTGGCCCTGTGGGCTCAGGTTCCCAGCCGATTTTGAACAACGCACCCGCCACCCTGGGGCATCAAGTTCTTGGGGGTGGTTCTGGCCCATACGCTACAGGGCCCCCGTTTCCGCCACCCGTAAAACACGCAGCAACATCACCCGTTCTCTTCTACCGCCATCGCACCGCGTGTAGGGCCATTCGAGGATAATGTTGTTGTGGCTGTTATCTATAGTATGTGTATAAATATATACATATACATACAGACACATGTGCATAATTGTACGTGTGTGTATGCGTACGCGTGTACAAACATAATATACGCGAGCTTGCACGATCTCCAAGTCAGCTACGTTGTTACATATATCCACACATATGTATGTTTCATACGCGTGGGCCCCAAACAGTGAGTTGTTGCAGTGCGAAATGCAAGCCGTATGGTGAAGCGGCAACGAGGCGGAACCGGACGGCAACGGAACGAATATTCGACACATTGCCCCAGGCGGCAAGGGGACGCAATGTGGCGAATCTTCGACACCCCCCGTGAGGCCGCAACGGGCGGAAACGTGGTGAATCCTCGACATGCGGCAGCGGGCGGAAGCGGGCGGCAATGGGAGGCAGCGTGGCGAATCCTCGGCATACCCCCCGGGGCGGGAGTTGGCGGCAACGTGGCGCATCCTCGACGTACACCCCAGGGCGGCAGCGGGCGGCAGCGGGCGGCAAGAATCTTCGACAGACCTTCCGAGGTGGCAACGGGCGGCCACGGGTGGCAACGTGGCGCATCATCGACATACCCCCGAGGCGGCAACGGGCGGCAACGTGTCGAATCCTCGTCCTATCCCCCAGCGCGACAATGGGCGGCAACGCGGCGAATCTTCGACCCCCCCCCCTGTTGGCAACGGGGGGCAACGCGGCGCATCCTCGACATATCCCCCGAGGCGGCAACGGGCGGCAATGCGGCGAATCCTCGACATACCCCCCGAGGCGACAACTCCCGCAACGTGGCGAATCCTCGGCATACCCCCCGGAACGGCTACGGGCTGCAACGGGCGGCAACATGGTGAATTCTCAACATACCCTCCGTGGCGAATCCTCGACATACCCCCCGAGGCGGCAACGGGCGGCAATGTGGCGAATCCTCGACATACCCCTGAGGCGGTAACGGCCGGCAATGTGGCGAATACCTGACACACCTATCAATTTGTTAGTGAGGCAAGTAAGATCCCCTACGTGCAAGCACTGCACGGGGCATGTGTATGTATGTGCGTATGTGTATAAATATACAGACACATATATATACACACACATGCATGCATACGTACAGAAATTAAAGCCCTACGTAGCCTAAGCAGATCCCAGACGTTGGGCCCCTGGGCGGCGGATGTGGATAGACCCCCGCCGCGCACAGGAGCTGCTGTTCGCACTGCCGCCCGCAGGGGAGGCGGACGAGGCGCGGTGGGGACAGCGGATTTGGAGGAAGGAAGATCGGCACGAGCATACGGTATCTTAGTGTCGTTGATGCGCGGTTACGATCCCCGCGCGCGTGTTCCACGCTGAACGCCGCCCGTGGTTAAGAGTCGTCGAATTTGGAACGATTCTACGATCAAGAAGTTGCCGATGGTTGGCTGTACGATCCACGCGGTGTCAAGAAACCAACGCCAGGGGAGGAGGAGGAGGAGGAGGAGGAGGAGGAGGAGGAGGAGGAGGAGGGAGAGAAGGAGGAGGAGGAGGAGGAGGAGGAAGGAGGAGGAGGAGGAGGAGAAAGAGGAGGAGGAGGAGGAGAGAGAGGAGGAGGAGAAAGAGGAGGAGGGAGAGGAGGAGGAGGAGGAGAGGAGGAGGAGGAGGAGGAGGTGGAGGAGGAGGAGGAGGAGGAGGAGTCGCCACGACACGCATCCTGCTGTGAGCTTCCGGGCCTCCGCGCGGATCGCTTGGAGATCGAGGCGGCGCCCGCCCCCCTGGCGGCGACGCCCCAGGGAGGGTGCCGCTCCGAGCTGCCTTGGGGAGGGGGGGTTCTGGCGCCGATTCGAGAAGTCCGCGCGGTCATCCGACTGTTTTCAGGAGGGGAAAAAAAAAACACAGACACGATTCATCTTCGATTCCCAGGAAAATATTGGAAAACATGGGAAGTGGGGGGGAAGACAGAAACACAGGAAATATGGGAAAATATAGGGAATTGATTTATTTGTGTTTATTTATTTGTGTGTCCTTGGGCCCCTTCAAGTTTGCACATCGAGGATGAAATCGGAGCTCAAGAGACGGGTGTCATTGCCAACGGGGGGCAGCCAGAGCGCTGGATCCTTGCAGGATCCTGCAGGACCAGGGCTGCAACGACCCGGGTCTGGGTGCAGGATCCTGCAGGATCCTGCAGGATCCTTCGCATCGACCCGGGTTTGGGTGCAGGATCTTGCAGGATTTTGCAAGGTTCGATTGACCCGGGTCTGGATTGACCCGGGTCAGAAGATCCCCGATAAAAGAACCCCCAACCTTGATCACAGAGTGAAGACGTGGCCTCATTTGGGTCCCCGCCTTTGCATGAGGGATCATGCTTAAACGTTTGGGCGGCTTGGCTGGATACACCAGCAGATAAGGCCCCCTATGCATAACGTTCCTGGCCCTCCTAACTTGGGTCCCCTCACAAAGTGTGAGGGGCTCTTCTACTGCTAATCATGTTTGCTCGTGCCCAGACATCTGGCCGCTCCATTTTTTTTCCACGCGCAGGCCCCAGAGATCCAGACCACTTCCCCGGGGCCGGTTTTTCGTCTCGAGCGTCCCCGAGGCCCGGCGAGGGCCCCCGCAGGCCGAAGGCCGCCACAAAATCCCGCCGCGCTCCAGTTGCTTTGGCTTGGCATCGCTCGGGCGCGTGCATGTTTCCTTCGGCGAGGACCATCGAGGAGCATCCTTGATCACGTGGCGAGAAAGCCACGCACGACACCGACAAGAGCACAGGGAATGGACGCCCGAGCGATGGCCCGTGCCGATCGTGCCTTCCTCCGCGCATGACGCAGCACTTCAGGGCGGTGGCGTCGAGCCTCAGGGAGCGCTTGGAGCGGGCGGGGGACGCCGAGCACGGGCGCTGCGAGGAGGGCTGCCTCGCCAAGCTGCAGCTGCTCGACGTGGTGGCCGAGCGGTTCCTCGGGGAACCAGCAGGGTACAGAGCGTTCCTCCTCCTCCTCCTCCTCCTCCTCCTCCTCCTCCTCCTCCTCCTCCTCTTCCTCCTCCTTCTTCGCCTCCTCCTACTCCTCCTCGTCATCATCATCATCCTTCTCGTCATCATCATCCTCCTCTTCCTCCTCCTCCTCCTCATCCCCCTCCCCCTCATCATCATCATCATCATCATCATCATCATCATCATCATCATCATCATCATCATCATCATCATCATCATCATCATCATCATCATCATCATCATCATCATCATCCTCAGGGAACCAGCAGGGTACTGCAGGTTCGCGTCGTGTCGACCGGCGGCGACACAGAATCGGTCGATGTTGAACGATTGGTCGTTGCGGGAACGGCCGATCGTTGAAGGTTGAACGATCCACGCGGTGTCAGAAACCAACGCATGGGTCGTCACGACGGGAATCTGCCGTACAGTCGGACCGAGGTACAGTGGAGGCCCATGCCAAGAAACCTTCCTCGTCTCCAGGGTGGCCTAGGTGTCTTGGGTTTCAGTGATTTTGCGATGGAGAGCTTTCGATGGTTTTGCTAGAGAAGCCGGAAAAAGTTACCAGGGCCAGCCCTTCCACTCTTTCCAACCCTGGCCGAGTTTGCTGCAGTTTTTTCAGCCCTGGCTAACTACCTCATCCCAACTGCCTCGTGCTCGTCGCAGCCCCTGCCAGTTTCTGTTGGCCCTGGCCACTTCCACTTTCACCGAATTCCCAACGTCCACTTGTTCCAGCGTCCCCGCAAATTCGAGGTCGTTTCGGTGAGGGTACCCTGACGTTCTTCGTGCTTGTGGGACGTTCTCGTGCATCCTGAGGAGGAGGAGGACGAGGAGGAGGAGGAGGAGGAGGAGCAGGAACAGGAGCAGGAGCAGGATCAGGAGGAGGAGGAGGAGGAGGAGGAGGAGGAGGTGGGTGCCCTCGAGTTCTCTTCACGTTGGCCGGCGGAGGGCCTCGCGTTCTTGAAAGGTGTGCTTCTGCCCCAGGATTGATGGTACCGTTACCCTGTTCAGAGGCCAGCAACATATGTACACGTACGCGGTTAGCTTCCCCTGGAGGGCATTTGAACGAGGACGTTCGTGCATTCAAGATCGCGGAGGGCGTACATGTACATGTGTCGTTGCTCGCTCACCTGTAGCCCTTGGGGCCCGATAGCCGTGGACCATGGCACCGCGAAGGGGCCAGGATGGGCGAGGTGTTTGTGGTCCCAACCTAGATCACCAGAGATGATTTCGAGCACCAGGCAAGTACCGAAACGGCAGGATTCCCACGTGACGGGCCCTGGGAGGCGATATTCGTTCGACAGTGTTTCGATACTTTTCTGGGGGCTCGAATGTTTTCCGGGATGTGGTCCTTAAGTACGATGGGAGCAACATAACTTTAGGTTTAAGTCGGGCGTGTCCCTCTAAAAGGAGGAATATTCAAACATAGTTATTCAAAAAAGTGTACAGACTATTTGTTTAGTATGTGTTTAGTATTTTGGGGTATTTTCAATGTTTGCCAAAAATCCGCCTGTAGGGGGACAGGCCCGACCTAACCCTAGGTCTGACGGTGTACCGTTGCCCTGCAAGTCCCTTGGGGGCCCGATAGAGCTGGAGCTGCGGGAACCCAGCGCGCCGCGAGAGGGGGGCCAGGGGACGTGCGAGGCATATGGGTCCCTTGGGCAGGTCGCTGGGCCACACGTCTCCTCCTCCGCCAAGACGTCGTGGGATCCTCCTCCTCCTCCCTCCTCCTCCTCCTCCTCCTCCTCCTCCTCCTCCTCCGCCTCCTCCTCTACCGCCTCCTCCTCCTCCTCCTCCATCCGCCTCCACCTCCTCCTCCTCCTCCTCCGCCACCTCCTCCTCCCTCCTTCCCCCTCCTCCTCCTCCTCCCCTTCCTCCATCCCCCCTCCAACCTCCGTCCTCCTCCTTCTCCTCCTCCTCCTCCTCCTCCTCCTCCTCCTCCTCCTCCTCCTCATCCGCTACGACCTTGGTCATGGTCCATGTACTCCCTCAAACCTCTCTTGGCGTGCGCCCTGACCAGGATTTCGAGGCTGGTGTTGCCGTGGCGACGAGGAGCGCGTATACAGTGGGGGGCCCATGCCAAGAAACGCCCTGCTTGCCTCCAGGGTGCCCTGGGGGGTTCTTGGGTTTGCGATGGTCTTGCGATGGAAAGCGTGGCGCTCCCGCGCCAAAAATCGATGAACGTCTTGGAGTCTTAGGGTTGGGTTTCTTGTGGAAGGTTTCTTGTGGTCGGGCCCCTACTGTATAGCGGTCGCGGTGTATCTCTGCCTCCTCCGAGGCACGCGGAGCGCGCCCGCGAGCTCGACCCCGCGCTCGCCGACGCCATGGCCCGGCTGCGGGCTCACGAGGCCTCGAACGTGGCCAATACGAGGATCAATCCGTTCCCGAGCGTTCATCCTCTTTCCACCTCCCCCTTGCGCCTCCCCCTCCCCCTCCTCCTCCTCCTCCTCCTCCTCCTCCTCCTCCTCCTCCTCCTCCTCCTCCTCCTCCTCCTCCTCCTCCCCCTCCTAATCCTCCTCATCCTCCTCATCCTCATCCTCCTTCGCCTCCTCCTTCTCCTCCTTCGCCTCCTCCTCCTCCTTCCGGAACGCTTTGAGAAGGCCGCGGGGCCAGAGACATCTTCCAGAGATTCTCGATCTATCTCGGAAGCTGGAACATCCAGTGGAGACCTATGCCAAGAAACACCCTGCTTGCCCCCAGGATGCCTTGGGTTTCTTGGGTTTCAATGGTTTTGCGATCGACAGCGCGACGCTTACACGCCAAAAATCGATGGACGCCCTGGATCTCAGGGTTGGGTTTCTTGTGGAAGGTTTCTTGTGGCTGGGCCCCTACTGTGTTCATTTCCAGTGGCAGGCTGTTTTTCAATTCCAGGTTTCTTGAGTGTCGGGGACGACGTCGGGGTGGTGTGGTGTATGCGCTATTTGTTCCGTTCCCCAGGGAAACAACAGAAAATGTACATACCAGGATCCCGTACACACCAGGATCCGTTTCTTTGTGCAAGTTTCGGTACAGGGCCAGAAACAGCGTAGGTGTATAGAGTTCATTCCCTCATTATCCTCACCCGAATTGATCCTCGGCCCGGGGAAACCAAAAGGCACCGATACCGCTACCCCCCCAGACCTCTCCCGGGGTACGTTCTGACCAGAATTTCGAGGCGAATCCAGCAGTGGCGACGAGGGCCTCCTCTGACGTCCTGGCTTCGTCTTGAGGCTGGCCTCTTCCGCGCGGCGCTGCGGCTGTCGGGCGGGTGGTCATGGGGGGTGACCCGAACGGGTGGTGAAGAGAAAGCCCCAGGGGGGCCCTTCAAGGACCCCTTTGGAGCCCCAGAAGGTGCCCAAAAGGGGCCCGAAAGGGCCCCGTTAGGGCCTTCCCCTCCACCCCCCATTTGGGTCACCCCCCAATGACCACCCGCCCGAGGCTGGCGCCCGCGGGCAGGGGAGAGCGAGGACAGGGTAGAGGCAGGGGTACCTTTTCCTCCTCGGGCGTCCTGGCTTCGTCTCGAGGCTGACCTCTTCCGCGCGGCACTGCGGCTGGCGCCCGCGGGCGGTGAGCTGTCCCTGGGGCCCGCGGGTGGCGCGGGCGGCGCCGGGCCGCCGCCAGGCGAGGTCCTCGCCTGCGCCGCCGCGCGGCCGGCGGCGGCGGCGGCGTCTCGGGGCGCAAGACACGGGGGCAGGGCAAGGAGGAGGAGGACGAGGACGAGAAGGACGAGGAGGAAGGAGGAGGAGGAGGAGGAGAAAGAGGAGGAGGAGGAGGAGGGGGAGGAGGAGGGGAGGTGGGACGAGGAGAGGAAGGAGGAGGCAGGAGAGGGGGGGGGGGAGGAGGTGGAGGGAGGAGGGAGGAGGAGGAGGAGAGGAGGAGGGAGGATGAGGAGGAGGAGGAGGGAGGAGAGGATGAGGAGGAGGTGGAAGGAGAGGAGGAGGAGGAGGAGGAGGAGGAGGAGGAGGAGGAGGAGGGAGGGGGGAAGAGGAGGGAGGAGGAAGAGGAGGACCATCAACGATGTTGGAGTAAACCCTACCTCCAAGCTCCGTCTTCATAGGCCCCATACACCAATTTATTTCCACTGAGGGAACTGCCTCGTTGGAAGACAACCGTTTGAAGACCCTGAGGCATGCCAAACAAATATTATCGGGATTCCATCTCCACGGATCAACCTGACTTTTGCGACTTGACGATCCTGAATCGTGCCAGGACGCCATTCCTGGATGTTCAACACCACGTATCAACGTAACTGTTTCGCCAAGGCGAGATCCAAATTTTGAAAACGACTCGCCCTAAACCCGTAAAATTCTTGCATCTTGTCATTTATACCTATAATAACAAGAAATAAAAAGAAACAACAAAAACAAAACAAAAAATGTGCGCGGCGCTATGGCGCGAGTCATATTTTGAAAACCACCCGCCCTCCATCTGTGTAACAGTTGCCGATGTGTCAGTTTCAGAGTCATAAGTGGTGAGGAAGTGTGAGCCGAAACGCCCGGCCCGACCTAAAAATTGGCCTCGGGGTGCGACAGGGGAAAACTATGCACAAGGAAAAGGACTGGAGGAGGAGGAGGAGGAGAGATGAGGAGAGAGGAGGAGAGAGGAGAAGGAAGGAGGAGAGAAAAGGAGGAGGAGGAGGAGGAGACGGAGGCAGAGGCGGGGGGGGGGTCAGTCAGAGCGCCGAATCGTGCAGGATCCTGCAGGGCCAGGGGTGCACCGACCCGGCCTTGGGGTCGCAGGGCCCTGCAGGATCCCGCAAGGCCCGACTGGCCCGGGCCTGGATCGACCCGGGCCGGTGTGCCCCCGAGGCGGGCCCCGCTGGCGGCGGCGCGAGCCCCTCGGCAGCGCTGAGCCCGCGCTCGCCGAGCCCGCGGCGCCGCGAGGCAGTCGAGGACCAGGGTCAGCGTGACATCACCCTCCTCCTCCTCCTCCTCCTCCTCCTCCTCCTCCTCCCTCCTCCTCCTCCTCCTCACTGCGCCTCCCCTGCTCTCCTCCTCCTCCTCCCTCCTCCTCCCCTCCTCCTGCTCCTCCTCCCTCCTCCTCCTCCTCCTCCTCTTCCTCCTCCTCCTCCTCCTCCTGCTCCTCCTCCTCCTCCTCCTCCTCCTCCTTCTCCTCCTCCTCCTCCTTCTCCTCCTCCTCCTGCCCCCCATGTATCGCCCCCCCACTGGGTCAACGTGACGCGGGTGGGGGGGGGAATGGGCTTCAATTTTCTAGGCCCCTAGATGGGGTCGGAGTAGATGGGGTCAGAGGATCGCGCCGCATCGCCGATGCATCGGCGATGCGGCTCGACGTGGGGCCCAATTTTCTCCACGCCGACGTCGCGGATGTATCGCCGACGTCGCCAGTGCATGGCCGATGAATAGACGATGCATCGGCGATGCATGGCCGATGTATCGGCGATGAGGCGAGATCCTTCGACCCCATCTACTGGGACCCCATCCAGGAGGCCTCTGACCTCGGCATCGTTTGGACGTGTGCATTTCTTCTCGGCACGAACCGTCGAGGAGCCTTTTTCGGTCCTCTTGCGGAACAAAATACACGCACGGATCCGGACAATGCACGGGGAATGGACGTCCGAGCGATGGCAAGTCAACGTTTTCGAAAGATTCGGAAGAGTTCGGAGGGTTTCGAGGCTCAGGGTAGCTTCAATCAGCTGCGCCTCGCCGGGAGCGTTCCGAGGTGCCCGGATCGTCCCGAACGGCCGCCGGAGACCCGAGGTATGATCAGGAGGGAAAAACACACACAATTGATCGTCGATTCCTCAGAAAATGTTGGAACCTATGGGAAGCGGGGGGAAGACAAAAACCCACAAAAAATTAGAAAATATGGGGAATCCTGTCATTTGTGTATATTTATTTGTATGTGTCCCAGGGCCCCTTCATGTGATTTGAATCCTACCAGGCGTCCAAGAGGTCAGGGTCAACGTCACGTAGGGGGGACGGGCGCACCGACACCCGCTCGCCCACTGATCGCGGATGGGAGCCCGATAGGCCCAACTTGCCAGGCTTAAGTCGGGCGTGTCCTTCTACAGGGGGAATATTCAAAAATAGTTGAAAAAAAAGTCTGGGGACGATTTGTGCAACCATTTTGGAACATTTTGGGGGTATGTTTATTTGTCGTCCAAAATCCCCCTGTAGGGGGGCACGCCCGACCTAGTGCCAGGCCTATCGCCAGCCTGTCGCCGATCTTCCGGCGATGTATCGCCGATTCCAGGTCGACGCATCCCATCGGAGCTGGTCCCCCCCAGCCGTTGCCCCGCAGAGGAGAGCGCGGCAGAGGGCTTCTCCGCCTCGGCGTCGCCGGCCTCTGCAGCGGAGCGCAGGGGAGGACGAAGGCACCGATTCCGAGGCGGGAATTTATACATTACCACCGACCGCCTGAGGATCAATTCTCGGGGACCTCGCCAGGCGGTGGATATGGTGGAAATATTCGGACCCGCAGGGACCAGAATATATCCATATCCACCTCCCGCTGGGGCACGAGGACGTCGGTTGGCGACGTATATGGGTAGATCTCCGCCTCGGGCCGATCCTGGAGGTCCAGACCACTTCCCCCGGGCCGGTTTTTCGTCCCGAGTCGTTTT